ACACGCACAAAACACAATCTTGAAGCCAATGTAGTGAAATTTCTATTCAAAAGTATCGTAGAGGGGGGGGGGGGGGTCGAATATCCACTCACTTGAGGCACTGTCATATCCACAATTTCCTAATGAAGTTCAGCATCACGCACTACGCTTTAAACCAGAGCTTTCGTCGCTTGTAAGGGACATGCTGCAGCCGCCTTTGGCCGGTACCGGAGGGTCACGTGCAACGAATAACCTCGATAGTGTCCGTCCTTTACTTATCGCATGCTTGCCACCAGAGCTCGCTGGCCATCATCTGTGAGGTGAACGAACCAACAGCCGCCGTTCTGGCCGCGCCGAAAAATGATGACTGCGCTCAAGATTGAACATGTTTGTACGGATCGGTTGCGATATTTAAATAACCAGGCCTGTAGGCCCATCGTGCTGACGCTTTGCTTAGTCTACAGTGTAGCGCCAGAACACATGGCTTAGCTGTTGAGGAAGCCAAGCTGGATGAACGCGGTGGGCGTTCACCGTGACACCTCACATTTTGCTTGACAAAAAAAAATGTGTTTCCAACAGGTGGAAATATTCAATTATGCAAGCCCCATATGAGTTGGGCGTACATCGTGTTGATGTAAGCAGACAACGGTAAATGTTCTCTTTTACTAGAAGTGAAAGTTGGGCCAGTTGGTGGTTCATGCTTGGACATGAACACAGCGCAAAAATATAGACAAAGACTTGTCGTCTCTTCTTTAGCCTTTGTCTATATTTTTGCGCTGCTTTTATATGCAAAAATGTTCTCTTACAAATCATGGGTCGATGGCACTTGGAATATGACTTGATTTTATTAGCATACCATGTGGACAGGGCTGACGACATTGGGTTGACAAGCGAAGGCGCATTAGCACCATCTTGTTTGTTCAAGTTACCTTAACGACATAGCAGTGAAGCAATATCTTCATTCCAGAAACCCTTAGACCCTTGGCGTTTCGCTTAGGAAAGCCATTTCAGGTTTATTAAAATGGTTGTCACATTCTTCTCTGTCAACTAGTTCAAACTTTTAATGAAACGTTGTGCTGCCCATGTCGCCACCGGAGTGTTCGAGGTTTCGAGTGGTTCATAAACAGGGGTTATCGTTTCCGATACATCTGCCGTCACGTTTTGTCGCGCAATTTCAGACCCAGCGCTACGATCCACACTGACAGTGCCTCCACGTGCCTTTCAACTATTTAAGATAGTGCACAAAGGGCAAGGGTATGAAGGCGAAAGAGAAACCGTTATCTCGTCTTCCAGCTTGCGGGTTCGGGGTTCTTTATAACGTACTTTCCGAGTTATTTGAGGCACGCAAACTGTACATAATTTAGTAACTTGGATGCTCACGCATACTGAAGAAACACGTTTTCACGTCGTACATCGCGAGCAGTTACTGGCCACACAAAACAGCCTTTCCGCAAAATATGTTGCGCTGAAACTTCCTATTACGATAGTGTCTTTATTTTAATTTTTAGCGTATTCACTTCTGAGCGTAATAAGTTGCAGAAAAATATTTTGCGGCAGGTTCATTGTTTTATTTTTCAAATCAAAATAATAAATGAAGTGTAGTTGTCGCCAACAGCCAAGCTTATTTATTATGATGTAAACAACAACTACAAAAAATACACGTACTTAATCAACTACGTAACTCCGGTTTCTGAGATTACATTCAAAAGTAACAAGGCTGTACATGCAGACACAATTAGGTGTGACGTGGCGAAGCCTGCAGCAGCTGTTGGAATACATGCAAGGACATTTTTCATCACTCATTTCACGCAATCTCATTTATAAAGGGAGTGAATTAAAGGTCCGTATGTCCCCTTGCGTAATCTCTGCTCTGCGGCCTGCTCCATTTCGACCCCGCGTCGGAGACACCCCGCCCGCGAAGCTCACTCAGTGAGTTCCGCGAAACAGAGATAGTGGTTACCCGGCGCAAGCGTGTTTGTACGTGGACTTATGAACTGGAATGACGGGGAAGGCCATTATCTAATTACCTAGCGTTTATTTCTTCTTGATTTTTTTTGTTTTCAGATGGCATGAAGTTCGCTCCATTTTGGGCCATATAATTCGCTGTTCTTTCGTTGCTGCTATAAATAGAATGAACACGATTAAATATCATTATATCGACAATACAGCGCTATTATATTTGCGATAACGTGTATGTATAAATTTCTGATAATAAACGAAGAGAAGAAACCCCTACCATAATTGAAATGCTAAATACTGTAAAAAGTTGTCCTTACCCTTTTCATTTGTTTGTTTGTTGCCTGTCAACTCTGGCACATATCCACTCTGGGGGATCGGCCAAGTAACCTTTCCGTTTTGGTCAGCGTTTCTTCTTTTCCTTACGTCATCGTGCCTACTCCCCAACAGTGGATTGATCGTCAAATCATGAACTCCGTGGAACATTACTCCGAATAAAACATCGGACTCACATTAAACAGTGCACGAACTGGGCAGCTCGAAGTTCTCTTGTCGAAAGCCGAGGACATGTGGAAAAGCTTAAGTTCAGCTTATTGGTTATACACGAGTGAGCAGTGCATCGATTATTCTAAATTCGAGTGAAATAGAACCGAATCATGCTTGGTGAAGAAGGGTAGAAATATTAAGAAACCTATTATATATCAGCTTAGGGACAAGCGAGGGAAGACGAACAGAGCGAAGTGGCGCGACCGAGGACTCTGAGCTCGTGACCAGGCTACTGCATTCAGTGTTGTAGAAATACAATAAAGGGACTTTATAATAAAGCCTATGCGTGATATGCATGTGGTCAGTGGATATTTACGACGTCTAAATGTAACGCGAACTTCTTCTAAGGAAATAGAATGTTTCCTCGTTCTTTCATTGCGTGCAATGTCGTGTATTGGTGAAAAAAAAAACTGCTCGGTTAAAAAAAACTGCTACAGTGCGATTATGCATTTCCAGTTTAGGTGCCGGGAGAATAGCAGTATAGACTGTCTGCGTGAGCCCAAACGCTTTAAATAACATACGCGTAGTTCCGTGCAGCAGCGTCACGTAGATATTGATCACTTAGTTCGGGGTTGACGTGTATGACAAAGCCGGTCTTCGAGAGAGAAGCCAACAAAACGGGACAGCAATCAGGCAGATAGTGCTTCCCCTTTTATCTGACCTCGCGATCCGACACGCCTCTGTGACGCTCGCGCTGTTCCCGCTGCGAGGCCGTGCACGAAGCGATGCGCGTCGTCGCCGTGTCACTTCGCTCGGGAAGCGCCGTGGCATCGAGGCATTGCCATTGATTGGCACCGGTGCTTACTGCATCGGAACTCGTGTCCACAAAGCTCCAGCGTCTGACTTTGAGTGTTTGGAGAGCCGTGTGCTTCCGACGCCGTGCAGTAAGCATAGGTAGTACGGCTTCTAACAGAATAGATAATCGACAGGCTTTGAAAAGTGTTGAGTAGAGTACAAAGGCTGTTTATCAAAAAGTATGCCGGTGATTAAAACCGTTCAATACCTACAGGCTGCCTTCAGAAAATTAGAGATAACGCTTACCATTCCTAGTCTTCCTGTAGAGTTCGTTTTAGGATAAATGAGCGAAATTTGATTTAAGGTATAATTTTTACGTTAAGCGATTAATATTTAATTGCCTTGACTAAATGTGTAACTAAGTACCACTTCATTCCGACCAGCTAAATATGCAATAAATGCTTTTCCACGAGGCTTTCAAGGGTTCGATATCTTTTTTGATGTATTAATAAATGTATCAAATATATAAAGGGTAAACTTTCGCGTATATTTTCAAATATATGTTGTGGTAGAGGTGTAAAAAAGGCGTTAGGCACACCTAAACTTTGTTGTGCCTGGCAATCCTGAAACACTTCAACCCCCGCTTGCACGGGGTCGCACTGTGAGAAAAATACCTGCGATATTTTCCAAACGGTGTGGGCGTGTCAAAAAACTCTCTAACTCACCCCTCCACCCAACCCTTCCCGGGAGGACTGGGAGGCAGCCCTGCTTGGCTGCTCTGACCTGATGGCCCGACCGGCCTTGGTTGAGCGTGCCCGAACCTCGACTGACGCCGACGGGCTCCCGTAAGAGGGAGCCCACCTAGTGTTTGTACGGGGCGGAACCTTAAGGACCGCTCCCCACCCTCCCTGTATGTAACTTACAGATCCTTAACAGATATTTCTGGTTAACCTCCCTGCCTTCCTTATTTCTCGTTTCTCTCTCTTAACAGATATCAACAGATACCTCGTACGTGTGGTACTTTGAGCGGTGTTATTCAAAGGGACGTAGCACGCCGGGAAAAAACACTACGACACTTCATTTTGAATTCTTTGTGGGCGACATGTCGCACTCGGAAGTTTCATCCGCACTCACATATGACAAGTGGGAAGAGTTTGATTGCTAGTATGCAACTGCGGTGTTCTGTACAGACAAGAACTAGATTTATTGAACGATATCGAAACCAGAAACTCTCGGCACTGCCATCCTAAGGCGAATGCGGCTGGAATATTTTTCAGCCTGCCTGAAAGCGTCGCTTGCATTGATTTTTTTTTTTTGTTAATCTGTGGTCATTTGTATTATTCGGAAATGGCAAACGTGTCATTCTCAATGTGATAGCATAGGCATATTAAAAAGAAGGAAGAAAGAAAATACAAGTAGTTACAACACGCATTCCGGATTGATTCGTACATCATCTGGCCAGGCGATCACCGTCATCAACAAAAGTTATTGACGTCAAGCTGATTTGTGTTCCCAGCTAATAAAGCTTCTCACTTTTTTCTCAAGCAACTGAAGACTAAATCTTGCGAGTTCTCACAACTCGATAAAAATGCGAGAAGTTACTTCGAAATAACTTCTGCGTACCAACAGTGATGTTCATTTACCCTTCCTCTGTCCACGACATGCATTAAAAAGTATTTTCGAACGAATGTGCTTGAACGGTTTACATTGATTATCTGCAGCTCTTTGCTTTAGTGTAAAGCGTGTATTGGATGTGCGTCAAAGGACAAAATACACAAGAATGAGGTGAAATTTAGTAAAAAAATAGAAATGATTTATTGCTCTGGCTGTACATTAGGTGCGAAAGGCTGGGGGTGGGATGGGTGGAATATATCACAGGTGGTGCGGCTAGCTGCTCATGAGCATGCGCAGAACAGTGTTGGCTGCCCGGATGGTCGCCATCGGGCTAAGTTCATCGTCGTCTTCCTCCTCGGGCGCGTAGTTAACGCCGAGGCGCTCCATAGTCGTCATTCTCCGAGTTGCCTGCGTATAGAATAAAAAAAGTGAGACAGCAGTCAAGGCAGACATTAGACATTCACAGTCTAGTAGACTAACTGGTCTCGCCAGCGGGAGCATAAGTAAATGGCATGCACAGCACAGCAGTGGGCCACCGTCATCTCGCCGTCAGGCCGAAATACAATGAGGCCGCATGAGGGTTTTGAAAGAGCTATTGTATACTCAGTGCTTTGAATGCAAGGTGATATGAGAGGTGTCGTTCCAGGAATATCCCTATAACAACGGTGCAATGAAACAGTATTATTAAAACGAGTCATGGCCAGTATTTTGACATGGAGACTAATCTTCGTCGTGATGATGTTCTGGCCGGACTAAGGGAAGTTCTTTTGCTGAAACGCCACGGCCTCAATGTCAGCTTGTTCGATTGCTTCTCATCGTTTCCACCTCTCTCTGAGTATCTGCCTTGCCTCAATATTTATTTTGCCCGATCATATCTCAGCAATCTTAAAGGAGTCACACGCTTACGTTCAATACGCTACTTGCAAAATTTTATCAGGTATGAAGGATGGGCCGGGTTTAATTATTGATGAAAAAACCGTACATGGCAGAAGGTAAGATGCTGTTTTCGAAGTAACGAAGTTCCTGCACCTTACGACGTCAGCACAGGAGACCATGTACCAACTACCATCATGTATCAACTGGTCTAGAAAACCACACTGCTAAAATTCAAAAAATTTTCCTGCTACACTACCCTTCCTGGAAGGTTGGTAGAAGCTAAGAGAAAGTTGTCTTCCTATTTGTTTCTTTGCAGTCTTAATCACGCCATTTATGGTCACTTTGAGTGAAGAAGCTCTGTCTTACGCCATGACTATTCTTACTGTCTGCATATCCGTGTTCGTAGCGCCAGTAAACCAAAACTACTTTGCTTATCTTACTTTGCCAGTTTGGTTGCTAGGTTGCTATAAATGCTCCTTAGTTAACGAAGCGTAAGTGTGAATGCCGCCAACCAACGTGAGACTCACTGGTTGTGGAGTCGAAGGCTGGGAAGGCGGCGGTGGAGTTGGCTTCTCGCGCGGAGCCTCACGCTGTGGTTCGGGTCGCTCGGCGAGCAGCACCGCGACGGGCATCACGACCACTTGTCCGACCCGCGGCCTGCCCATGTGACCGTACATCATGGCGGCTGGAGATGGCATCATGGGAGGTCCGTGCATCATCGGACCGCCAGGCATCATCGGAGGACCATGCATCATGAACGGAGGAATCATCGGTGGAGCGGGCAAAAACGCGGGGACGGGCACCATCATGGAAGGACTGTGCATCATCTGGGGTCCATGCGACATCGGTGGGCCGCGCATCATTATGGGCGAGTCGTGGTGCATCATGTGGTGTGGGTGCATCATGGGGTGTCCGCCGTGGATCATCGGGTGAGGTAGAGATGGTGGAGGAGATGGAGGTCCGGAGAACAGAGCGGGACCGGGAATAAACGCGGGCCGCATCATGGACGGCGCGTGCATCACAGTGTTGACGATGTACGGCTCCTGGACGATGGCAAAGTGCATGCCTGGGCCGTTGTCTCGGGGTCCATTGTTAGCGCGCTGGGTGACGACGGGAGGAGCGTGGGATCTCGGTGGGTGCGCCGTTGGCGGAGCGGGCATCTGGACCTGAGCGGGGCCGACGGGCGGCGCTGGAAGCATGGCGTACGGGTTCATGCCGGGGTGAGGAGCCGGGGGTGGGCCCTGGAGGAAGCCGGGTGGTGGTCCGGGCATTGGAGGACCCGCTCTGAACGGCCCTGGACCCGAGGGCCGGGGTGCGTGCACTACGAGAAGCAGAAGTGGTGGCTTCTGGTCGGGTGGTGGCATGCGCTGCATCGGAGGCGGCAGGGGTTGTGGAGGCTGCTGCTGCTGACGCTGCCTAAGCCTGGTGGCCGCCTTGTAGGCGCCCAGTACTTGGCGCAGGTCCTCGGCCTTGGAAGACTCCACGACCACCGTCTCGACGCGGCCACCGGATGGCTTGGGCTCTTCCATGGGGAAGGCCATCACGTAGCCCTGCGAGAAGAGCATTTGAGCGAGTTCTTAAGATGGCGGTGGGAGCTCTGGAAGTCCCACAGCGTGATCTTTGACGGAGAAACAGCGCTGTAGGGTAACAAGATTGCTGGCTTGAATAACGACAGGCCCATATTGGGCCTGCTCTTTTTTTTATTGGCCTGCTGCTGCGAATCGTGCACGTGTCACTACGCGGGACCAGTGACGCCATCTTTCCTTGTACGTATTTGGGTCTATACTAGAAAAAATTGCCGAAATTTGAAAAACATTATGGAACAAAAATAGAGAGTTTTATAATAATCAGAATTATTTCAAAACCTGCCACAGACGGGTATATTCACGTTACTTTGTTCTTGAGTTAAATACTAGACATATCCGCTTTCAGTCATGTCAGAAACCACCTTTGAGTCTCTATCGCCCTCTGACAGCTTACGAAACAACGGCCAGAATGTCCCGGAGAAGAGTGTCAGATGGTTAAACGGCGTGCATTTTCTTGAAAACAAAAGGAGGGGCGCAGGCGAGTGCCTCAGCTACAGTATTATTGTGTCTACAGTTAAGCGGCAACCATATGAAACTAGGTCTCGCATTCGGAGACAAATGAAACGTAATTCTGGGTTTCCGTGCCACGAAAAAAAAAAAAGCACACATACCGTTCTTGGAGCCCTGCACCGACCAAGTGTTAGTTTACGTTAAATAATGGTAACAAAGGGGCCCGCTTACTCTCCGGGAATTCAGTTGAAAAACTCAAATTGTCGAACGATGTTACCTGTGGGTGTTGCAATGCTGACCCCAGTTTTCCTTTCGATATCTTACTTTCGTTCTTACGTCAGACATGTTACCGATTACAATAACAATAATTTCGTATTGTTTGCTCTGTCACTCCTGACACGCTGAGATGATAAGCATTGTGTCAGGCCTAGAAACAGGAACTGTGTCATGTGATTTACAGACTTTGCTCCTAACCTATATATTCGGATATTACGACACACTACATGGTGCGTCTTAAAGCGGCACACATTCCGATTTCGACATAGACAAGCAAATTTATTTGTGCTTCCGACAGTATCGCTACAGAAAGACGAACCTGTGGGATACGCAAGCAGGCGAGGTGCTATTTCGCATGCGCTTGCTTGTGGGCACGTACAAGACGTTTACATATGAGCATGCGTATGTATTTCTTGAGCATTCTTCAGAATGTATGGTAGGGTAAACCCCCAGAACTTGAATTTGCGACTTTGACAGCGAAAAACGCATTGCACTCTGAGAATAAACCTGTGAAAGCCCGACTTCGAGCGGTCTGTCTCTCCAAGTGGTTTAAATGGCGCGCCAAAATACAACGCGCACCCTCTGGCGTTAGCAGCGCGCGCACATAAAACTTCGCTTTTCTCAAATTGCGTTTATTAGAAATTTTTGAACTTCAATGTACCTTTTCTCAAAAAGTACACAACAGATTTTGATAAAAATTTGAATGCATGAGCCTCATAAGGTTGAAAACAATCTGAAACAACAACAACAAAAAAAGAAATTGAAGATCTTTTTTGAAAAGTGCCGCTGTAAAAAAAATGCACAGCAATATGCATCCTCCGTGGCATTGTGACATTGTGAATGCAGTTGTTTTATTTTTTACAGTGACTCCTTAAAGAATGCCTTATATTTTAGTTCCCATATAACCTACGTGTATCTATATTAACAAGGCTCAATATAATTACATTCCTTTCCGTGTTTACTGAGAAAAAATGCATCGAGTAAGTGGGCCCACATTTAAATTTGGGTGTAGGCCATAGGAAGGGTAAGCAAGGTAGGCATAAAAAAAGAGTATCACGTGATCTCAGTGGCATCCTTTGTGAGCGTGTGAAATTTCACGCGAATACTTGCAGGCGGTCTTAAAATATTACGTTAGAACTGACATGTACCACTTACCCTACCTACGCCCTTAAAGCACAGTGATGGTTCCACACTTAATTTACTTTCTTCAACGCACGTCTGGTCGTATAATTTATTAACTATTTTTCATACAAAAATCTCTTTAAATTTTTGCGCCGAAGCTGCACATGGGTATAGAGAAACTGAAATTCTCGAGTGTGTAAAAAAAAAAAAAAAAAACGCCAGGCCTGCGCGGAAGGCGCAGCACAGTCCCAGCGAAAGCTAGAAGAGCGGCCTTTCAGAGCGTTTTCGAAACACTCATTGGGTGACTACTGCAAGCATACTTCCTTGATACTCCCTAGGTCATTATTAATAAATTTATTTAGGTAGTAGGTTGGCATTCGCTATGCTATTTTTATTCTTCTTCAAAGAAGCGTGGTATCCGCTGAACACTTGCAAGAAATCTTGAGCCACTTGTTCATGGAGTGGCTGACGACAATGAGGAACTATGGCTGAAGTGGGTATGCGCCACAGTAAATAGGGGAACAAGAACAAGCATTTGTGATGTCTTGGAGCATTCGACGGCCCACTGGTTACGCTATTCGCATTGTGCGACGACTGGTGTTTCTTTCGCTGTTATAATACGCTTTTGAAGTCGTATTAACGCGATTGCTTTCCCGACATCAAGCCTGCCTAAGGCAAGTTTGACAACAAGTCACAAGCACCGGTGTAGCTCTGTGCTAAGATAAAGATGTTACAATACACAAACCCTTGTGTGAAATTTAAAAGGAAGTAAAGAAAAAAAACGGTGTAGCTCAGTGGTAGAATACTGGGCTGGCACCCAGCGGACCCGGTTTCGAGCCCCACTGTGTCTTTGGTGCTAGTTTTTTTTTCTTTTTCAATGCAACAAGTCACAAGCACCGGTGTAGCTCAGTGCTAAGATAAAGATGTTACAATACACAACCCCTTGTATGAAATTTAAAAGGAAGTAAAGAAAAAAAAACGGTGTAGCTCAGTGGTAGAATACTGGGCTGGCACCCAGCGGACCCGGTTTCGAGCCCCACTGTGTCTTTGGTGCTAGATTTTTTTCTTTTTCAATACAACAAGTCACAAGCACCGGTGTAGCTCAGTGCTAAGATAAAGATGTTACAATACACAACCCCTTGTGTGAAATTTAAAAGGAAGTAAAGAAAAAAAAACGGTGTAGCTCAGTGGTAGAATACTGGGCTGGCACCCAGCGGACCCGGTTTCGAGCCCCACTGTGTCTTTGGTGCTAGTTTTTTTTTTTTCCAATTTCGCGCGATGTGTTACGGACACCGGCGGCGGCGGACAACTGCGCGTGCCCGAGTTGTGATCTCATAACAGCTTTCGCTGTAAAACTAGTGTGTTCCACGGAACTTGTGCAATCACCGCTTCTTTCCCACGTCCAATAAAAAGAAAACTGGTAGTGGCGAACATCAATTGAGATTCATTGACATACGTAACCAAAAAAAAATTGAGAAATATTCTATAAAACCATCGGCATTCATCAAGTGATAAACACCGAGGCCGCGTGTTTCAGGTTTGGTTATTAGGTTATTAACGATCTCTACGGAGCGCTTGAGCGGTGACATTCTTCTTTTTTTTCCCTTCTGGCGCTAATATAATGTATAAGAGGGCTGACTGGCTTCTTAAGGTTTACATGCGACACTGACATGCACAGCTCATAAAAGAAACTCCTTCACGGCGCATCGCTCGTCTACACAAGGAGAATAACGATAATTGAGTAATAATCAAGCGGTTAAAGCATTCCGCAACTATAGGCACTGATGCGGTCAGGCACCGATTGCACCAGGCCGTCCGCCGGGCAACTGACCAGGGACAACAGCGATAGCGGGCTTAATGGACGTACTTTGCGAGGTTGCATCGACGGCACGGCGGCGTACACACAAGCGAAACGAGCCACCGAAAGCGAAATGGCGAAAGCGATTCGGCCGGAGGCACGAACAAAGCGCAAAGGTGACACGCGGCCCTCATCAGGCCATCGCGAGGCATCCAGTGTTACAAAGGAACCCGTTTCGCGATGTTACAGGTCAGGGAGATCGGCCATTCGTTCTACACTCGGCTTTAATTTCTCGTTGCCCCCCTTTCTTTCGAGGACCGGCCTTAATGCATAGAGACTCATTTCACAGGCTGTTCACCCCGCAACCTCCTTAGCCGTAACAGTGCCACGTCAGTAGGGGCTAATTTTATAATGAGTATTATCGTCCTCTCACACTCCGTTCAAGTCATTTTGTTGTTCTTCGAGAAGCGCCTTTATACTAAATCAATTAAACTGTCTGTGAATGAACGGAAGAATGGAATTTGAAGAGCTCGCTTCTTTGTTTGATGCAACCTTAATGACGCCCACGTGTAATGAAACCAAGGAAGGAACAAGAAACGTCGATTGTACTGTTTTGTGTGTACTGTAATAATAGTGATGCAGATGAGAAAAACGTATACTGGACAAAAAAGAAAGTTTGCTGCCGACAAGGACGAAGCTGTGCTGGGCAACAACGCCACGTTTGCATGCACATAAATTGATGATGATGTTGATGACAGGGCCACAACCATCGTCGAGTGATTTGGTACTTCGCCCGCTATGCTATTAAAAATTCCTTCGAATGCTATTATTATTTATGAGCACTTTTGATTATTTGTAACTCACACTCTATCGATACTACATATTGAGAGTACGAATACAATGAATCATCAGCTGCAACGAAATAAATAAAAAAAATTATCTGTGCACCACAATGCAGTGTAAAAAATACTTGATTATAACGAATGCCGGATACAATGAAGCTATTTCTTTGTGTCATGTGCGACTTCGGTAGAACGAGGTTCATACTAAGTGCATCGCATTCAGCTCTCGTTTAAAATATCTCCATTCTGCATTTATAACACGTCAATATTTCCTATACTGCTGCAGGAACTACGCGGAAGACGCTTATGCCTACACGATCGCCGCTTTCTCGTGCCCATACGCGGCGTCTCGTAACTAAGCAAAACAAAAATAAGAAGCGAAAGCAAACAATTAACCAGCGCAAACATGCTCAGGTTGCACGAGTTATATTTATATACGCAAACGATAACGCTTCCGGTATACACCTGTACTGTCTGGATTAGAAGGTATAGCGACCTGCACTGACGGTACTGTTCTCGCGTCTATAAATAGCAACGCGCTGATCCAGCATTGGTTGCGTTATGAGAAATGTGTAAGCCCACTCACCAGTCCTTCCTTGTCCTTCTCATCCTCCGCCCAGGCGGTGGCACCTGAAACGAGCACAACAGTTCCCCGTCGTTGTAATGAGGCCACAGCTATACGCATTTTTTTGCCTCGTTAACTAAACAACTTTTTTAATTGCGAGCTTGAGTTTTCGCGTTTGTCTTGTCTATTATTGTGTACCTGAGGACAAGGAAACGAGGCTGCGGCCTCGAGCTACTCCTTTCCTACAGAACGAAGAATGGGCCTCAATCGTGGTGCCCGCTTTCTGATGAAAACAACCACACATAATGAAGGGGAGGAATGCACAGCAGACTTGATTGGTTGTTTTTGAATGAAATTTAGTAATTATGAGACAAAAGGAAAATGGATTCACGTGTACAGAAAAGACGTCACCGCCGGTGTAGACCAAACTTAAATCTTTAGAATAACGCAAATATTGTAGGCTTTGTCGGTTCTTACAGAAATTAAAAAAGTATATATATATATATATATATATATATATATATATATATATTATATATATATATATATATATATATATATATATATATATATATATATATATATATATATATATATATATTATATATATATATATATATATATATATATATATATATATATATATATATATATATATATATATATATATATTTCAAGTGCTAGATGATTCATATAAAATGAGGATGAATGGTGCGACCCGAATTCGCCCAATCACTCTATGTTCAGAATTGCGCGTTATTGAGGAGATTACTTTCTTCTCTTTTTGATAAGACATACAAAGACTTCAAATTGTGCTTAGTACACTATGAACAGCTTATTCAGAAAAAGCATGAAAGTGAAATACAAAGACGATTGAGAGGCTACAAACACAGGGCTGCGTTTGTATCCTCTCTTGCCCTTGTCGTTCGGACTTTTTCTGTATTATAAATGAATAGCTAACGAGCGCAAGCTATCTTTGAAAATTTTTATGAATGCTTCTCTTTCATTTTTTTTAAGCGATCTTCAATTTATTCATCAAAAGATGGCAATATCGTTTTCCATAACTTGAGTAATAATAGAAAAACATAATATGACAACATCCTCCTGAAAATGATCAGCATGAGCTGTTCCAAGGTGTATTAGGTTTAGGTTGTGTAAGTAAATCAATGCACTGCATACCGTATAATTCGCATGCTGGCCTAATCATTGCATATCTGCACGTCTGATTTGTACGCCGGAAATTTCATTCCGGTGACACTATATCATAGCACAACAGCGGTGGCAACGAAGTAGTACCCGTGTGAAATAAGGCGCGAACAAGGCGAAGTAAACACGAGCAAAGCCTCACACTTGATTGATTATAACGGGTGCTACATCACTGCCGATATCGGATCGACGGACACGTTGCCATCCGTCCGCGCCACAGAATCAATCACGTCAATATTCCAATACCGTACACTGCAGGTTTCGCGTCTGTGTATATAAATCACGCCCACAACCGAGTCACGCGAGCACTCAGCCAGAAAAAAAAAAAGATAGATAAAGGTGTGTCAGAAAAGGAAGACCGGACCAAATAATGGTAGCGGATATAATGTCGTTTTGGCTTTCGGTGCACAATGCATGCCTTATCCACAATTTCGAAGCCTGCCTGAGAAGGAGTTGCATCAGTAAGTCTATAGTGCGATGCCTTTTGTGATTGATGCTTCTACTCGCCTTGCTGCGAAATGTTCTGCTTCTTCTTTGGTCCCTGTGGGCAGTCGTCACTTTTATTTGGCGATTTTCATTCGTTCTACGCGAACAACTGGATAACACGGACACGCGAAGAAGTGTTTTGGCCACTCTATCCGGCTTTCTCGTGTCTCTGTTTAGGCTGACAGCACATGCTATCAAAGATACAAGAGACAAGAAGACATGGCTCGGACGAAGGAAACTCGAACAAATACGTACAGGGAGCGTGGGAAGTTCCTAGGCCACTATCCCACGTATTTCTATGAAAGCGTGGTTTATGAACTTTTGACCAACGCTGTACATAGATTCCGAGTGATGTACGCAGTAGAAAGGCCATGAACGCACTGGTGGAAAAATATATTGAGGGACATGTGTACAACATGAGCCAATGAAGGGGTAGCAAATATGTATGATAAGCACGATACAAAGTGGAAATTCTGGTATGGCGATTCGCTTATGACAACTCTGCGTGGATTGAACAAAAGAAAGACGTACATTTTTTTGTAGTGGGAAATTCCCGTGTAGCCCACAAGGTTAGGGGTGTACGGATTATGATTAGACGAGCTAAGGTCTAGCGTAGTTCGTCCTTGCAAGAATACGCGAACAAACGCTGCGTACACTTTGTTGCGATAAAAGTGACGTATCTTCTGTAAAACTTAGTATGTTTACGTCAGAGAATAGGCAGTTTTAAAATGGCATACGCAAAGCTTTGCGTTTGCGTTGCGCATCCGTCGTACGCTCAACTTTTGCGAGCTCCCACAGAGTGACGAACGCTAACGCAACCCGCGCAAGCTTTGCGTACACTATTCGAAAACTCCCTAATGAAGCCCCATTTGGACGCCTGTGAAGTAAGCCTGCCCATGATTAGCTTACTACTCAAATTACACAAAGTGCTTTATCCACCTCGTAAGACTTGCTTCAAAATACGGCTTACGCAGCTGCGCGCTAATTACTTCACATGAAATCGATTTCCTTAATGCGTGAGATTTGCCGGAATTTTTTAACTAGCCATGACGTGTTATTAGTAAGCAATGGCCAGCGACTCCCGTACTTTTTCTACATTGTAGTTAGTAGTCAAAACCAATAATTCTAGCCGATATTTTTTTATCTTTTATTTCACGCAGGCAACGGTTACTGATTTGTACGGTTGCGAAATAGACACAACACGCAGTGAAATAGTAGAAGCACTGCATCGCCGCTTATACGTCGTTCTCGGTGAATTGAAGTTTAATCAGGTCATTCTTCCTTATTTTTGTTGTTTTGAAACTGAAAGCAATGGGAATTTCCTATAGGCTACCCGGAGGCAGCCCCTGTACAACATCCGGAGCAACAGACAATCCAATAAATCGATATATGTGTACATCCAATGTCAATGCGCTAAGCATCGAGTACCAATTACGACTTGTACAATATGAATTGATCAGAGAGAAACACGGTTATCATTTGTCAGAAACCTGCCACGTCACCACTGAGAGCCTACAACCTCAATTCGCATACTAATGAACGGCAAGAGTGCATGGCACTACGTGCCCTTTCAATTAAGCATGCACGATAGTAATCGTGAGAATGTTTTCGTCCTCGCGTACACTCAATTGTTCATTAGAATGATGTAGTCCAAGGTAGGCAACGTTTAGAGAGAAGAACCCATGTGAAGTCGAACGCCCATAAGAATTAAAGTGTGTGGCGAAATTCATCACATTAATGTTTCATTAGGACAAGTGCGCGTTATACCTCTACACGTCAAGTATGCATGTGCAGGCGACGAAGAAATGCTAATGGTTTCCAGACTCGAATACTAATGAGGAGCACCTCTCTAAAAGGAAAACAAGCGTTCGTAGATTGTACCCGATAGTGGCATTTATTTGTAAACTAAGAAGCGAGCCTAGACATCTTTGTACACGTCAGGGCGTGGTGCGCGCGCCGAACGCACACAGAACCGGCCGCGACAACAACCCAAATAACGATTTCCAAAGCGATATCCCCTCTTCGATCTCCCCACCCGTCCAACTTCATCGACTGATAAGAAGCGCACTCTCGCATAAAAATGGAGACAAAACAACGCAACACTCTCGACACTGTTCGAAAAAAATGCCATCGTCCAACGTGGACGCTTTGTTTCTTTTACTTTTTTTTCTGACAGCTTTAGAACCGGCGGCGCCATCCTCAAAAGAACGGCCGGCCATCCTTATACACGCTACAATAGTCGATTTTAAATGCCTCGCTCCCTTGTTTATTTTTCGTTTCGGGCGGCCGTTCGTTTCTCCCCGCGCTCCGCATTGGGTCGCGCGCTCGGCGGCCGCTGCTGTCGTCTATTATTGTTATTTTATTTTCCTCCTCCGATACGGATCATTCGTCGTAAACTAGTAAAACGGGCGCGCTGCGGGAGGAGGCGCGCGTTCCTGCATAGCGTGGCGCTCAGACAGGTCAGGAAAAGTACAGCGTCGTCGTCGGCCGTCTCTTCTCGGGCGCGTAGCAGAGCAGCTCGTCCCGCGCCATTGAGAACGGGGCCAGCGACCTTATTTTTTCGCTCAGCGCACCCAGCACCGCATGCACGCTCGCGGAGGAGAAGGAGCACTCCAGGGCGGCGCGCATCTTCAGCGGGACCGGTCGGTCGGTCGGCTAGCCGGTCGACAGGCCAGCGTGCGCTGGCCGAGCGGTTGCGAGAAAAGTGCCGCAATCAAGCGGCGATGCGCCGCCGAATTCCTCTCCCCCACCCAGCGGCCAAAGTGAAAACGTCGTCCTCGCCGCTGACGTGGCCATTTTGGTTCACTTTCCTTCTTCGTTGTACGGTAAGGTATCCTGCAGAATCCGGGACGGCGTCCTGGTCTGTGGACTTGATAAAAGCTTCGCTGTTGGTTGGGAAGCCTTGCGCGCAAGAGCACTTACTGAAGTCGCTCCCGTACTCAGAAACATTCCTCGCTGACCCGCAGGTCGCGGGATCGAATCCCGTGAGCGGCGGCTGCATTTCCGATGGAGGCGGAAATGTTGTAGGCCCGTGTGCTCAGGTTTCGGTGCACGTTAAAGAACCCCAGGTGGTCGAAATTTCCGGAGCCCTCAACTACGGCGTCTCTCATAATCATACGGTGCTTTTGGGACGTTAAACCCCACATATCAATCAATCAATCAATCAACCAATCACAAACATTCCTCGACTCGAATTTCGTCCTTCACTTGACAGAGTTGAACACTGCGCCGCTGCTCGACTGAAAATGACGCAGTGCTTCTCAAGAATCGCTGCAGATTACCGCTGATGTGCCGTGGCTTGCTCTGCCTGGAGACGGGGCTGCCACGAACGTTCCCAAGTAACGGTGAAACGTTGAGTGAAGGTACTATGTAC